CAGGGCCATTGAGCAGTGAGGGATCTTTATCGTGCCAACGCCTGTTTTTAAGGTCTCATCCTAAGGACCCGCAACTTTCACTTCAAAGTGCCGAGCGCATGGCGAAGGAACAGTTGGTACCCATTTTTTATCGACTTGGGTCAGGTCAAGGTATTAGAAAGTGACCAGTGACCAATACGAGTTTTAAAGTGGATATAGTTTGTGACAAGGTGTTAGAAAGTGACCAGTGACCAAGTTTGTACGGAATGCTGATGAAATATACATGCTTAATAAAGATAATGATTTCTCTTTGTTCATGCAGGCCCGTAGGAAATAATAAAATAAAAAAATCACTGTAAAGTCCCCCCCCCCCCCAATAAAAAACAACAAGGGGTTATCACGGTCATAAGACGTTATTTTTGAAAGACACAAGCATAAAGTTGCTATGTTTTCTACAGTATATTATATCGGTAAAAAAATATAAGGGGAATGTGGAGGGGGGGGGGGGGGAGGGAGAGACACATTCCCAGGGTCTATGGCTATGTTGTTTATTTTACTACAACGGGGTAGACAAATGTTCGGTTATCAACATTCAGTGTCAATCTTGCGATGCATGGGCAAAATGATTATATATTCGATAATACATGTAATTTATTTGGAAACCGCTTGGGTCTCGCAAGGTACATAACCAATCAATTCATGGCCTTAGGAACCGGGGGCACGGGGGGGGGCCGTGCCCCCCCCCCCAATAATTTTGCCGATATATAGATTACTATAGAAAACATAGATGCTATATGTTTGTGCCCCCTCAATAAAAACGTCTAATGACCTTTTTTTTTTTTTTATATTGCTTGTCAAGAAATTTTTGGTAGTTGATAGTGCCCCCTCAACTGAAAATGTATGTTTATGCCCCCCCCCCCCCCAAACTGAAATTGCTTCCTACGGGCCTGGTCAATACACAAGATTCAATACATGATGTAATGGCTATAGAGAAAAAAAGATATAAAAGTATTTAATAATGATAAAAAAAATTACATGTAATTATTTTAACAAATTAAAACAATGGACCCTCTATACACCTTTAGGACTTTGAAAAAATCATAGCCTAAAGGAGTACGTATTAAAATTACTTTGTTATGTTTGCCTTTTTAGTGTACACAGGAAATCTTGAAAGACATCGTAGTAGTGATAAAGAAAAATTGCGTTCGCTTTCCCAGTGGTGTATATTCCATATAGGCAAAAAGGCTGTAGCCTACACATCATTTTCTTGATGTAAAAAAATATTTATTTATACATGTATTTGGTTGAAAAATGGGGGAAAGTTGATCATAAATCTTTTTTTTTTTACCAGTTACTAGAATATTTTTTCATCAAATGCAATAAAAGTATTTTTAGCAATCCACACTTTTATGCCTATCCAATTTTTACAGTATACAAAACTTTTGATTTTTATAGCTGGTTAAATCTAAAATTGAAATGTTACCTTGAAGTCGATATCAGACTTTTAAAAATGACATCAACAGGATTCTACGATTTGGACAGGGAATAGAAATTAGGAAATAGGTTTGGGTTAGGCCACACCAATTTAATTTCTTGTTCGTCGGACATATGATGAAAAAAAGGTACGAGCGGGCAAGCGGTTAAATAATAATATTATTACTTTTTTTGTAGGAAAAATTTTTAGGCGGAGCGTGAAAAAATTTGAGCGGACAATTATATTTTTTCTGATTTGGAGGGTAAGCAGATTTTAAATACGAAAAATAGAGCTGAAATTGAATAGAAAATAGCACAGAATTTCCATGGTGCGGGAAATTGAAATTAATATTATTTGTGTTAATAGTTTTGCTTAAATACGATCGCGCGGGTCCGACAAACAAAAAAATTATTGGTGTGACCTTAGTAAACATAAAACATTTTAAAATTATATTTAGATTATTCAGTAAAGAAGTTTCCATAATTTCCAAGCACTGTGTAAGGATTTTTAAATTTCTCGATTTTATTAAAAGTGGTCATGAAGATTTTAATTTCTGTTTCATAAAAATATGTTTAAATGATTTATTATTATATTCACTGGAAAAATGACAATGATAGATGTCTCCAAGATCGCAGAAAGTGGTCCTCCGACCCCCCCCCCTTCTATTGAGAGGGGGCGACTCCCTCCTTGTCTATCCGCAATTCGGCACTGGTACGCTTTAGGTGAAATCTTTGACTTCACATTAGCGTACACATTAGCCGAAGGGAATATACACCACTGTTTCCCAATAGGAGAAATACATAAAAATTAAGTTTTCAATTAAGGCTTTGAATACTTAAATTATATATACAACATAGACTGGAATTTATTTTATTCCATATCAAATAGTAGATCAGTCTAACTGCACAAATTCACCCTTAAATGTAATGAAATGTATCCTTAATTAAATTTCTGTGCAATGTTTAGACGATCCTTAGTACTTCTTATCAATAATAATTTTCTCCCTCATCGATGTGCTTATTGCATAATTTATCGACCTACTAATTTCGCATTTCAACGATAAGACCATATAATATTCTATATTATGTATCTATTGTGTTGTTTAATGAGGAAAATAAGATTTTATATATATTTTTCAAAACGTTACCCAAAATTCATTTCTATTTTGTTTCGATACATATAGCATTTTTTCTTGCCTTATTATTTAAGCAAATGACCATTTCTTATCAATATATTCAGTGATTTCTTGATAGTAAAAACTTCATAAAGGGGAGTAATCAAATATTAAATCCGCCTTTTGATTGGTTATTTTGGATCTTGAATCTCGAAACTCGAATCTCGAATTTCGAATCTCGTATTTCGAAACTCGAATCTCGAATGAGCCTTCTGGGCTTTCGTAGATTTACCTTATATTTAAATACATTTTAATTCCAATGAATCGTATACAATCTTTATGATATTTCTAAAAACCCATTTTCTGTAAACAGATCATCTTGAAAAACTTCTTGTTACACTTCATTTTCACTCTTCATATTCTATAAACACACAGGACGTCATAATTCAAATATTTTACCTCTGTGATAGGTATGCATAGGAAATGAATTTTATGTAATATTTTTGCATAATTTATTAATTTTTTGGAGTTAAAATAAATCGTGTTATACAAATATTAAGAAAACATTGTAAAGTTTACGTCATATTGCTTACTGTGGCGTCATTGCCAAAACAGAACTAAACATACCATCGTGAAGAGATTTCTTTCCATTAAGTTTAAAATTATACGAGTAAATTCAATGTCAAATCACATGTTTTTATTTGGAGATAATTTTGTACAAATTTGAACGTTGCTTAAAATTCATTTCAAAGGTTTGAAAATAATGGTAGTCAACGTTTCTTCTTAATATGTAATCATATGGAGATTTTTGGAGATTTTTCTTATTAAATACATGTACTACTTAATTTTTTAAAACTATGTATTACTATATACAATCCTGAACAGTATATTATTATGTGTGCAGAACTTTGACACACAACCCGTACATACATTGAGAGCAGTTGCGCTTATGGAGTAATAAACTCAACTACTAGTTAAGGTTTGTAGAGGGAAGAACAGAGCGAATGCAAATACTATAATGATATAATAATTTGCTATTACAATCCCATTCACTAATGCAACATTTTGTTATTTATGGATTCTTTTTTCATTAATTTTACTACAAGGCTGGTATGTACTCATAAATGATGTCTACCGACCTAATTTTACTGTTCAAATTACGACGCAGATAGAACTACGTTTTGTCTAATGTTCACTATTGAAATACCTTATATTCAGTGACATCACTTGCAATGCAGATGAATTATAAGATTGGGATTTGATGATGTTTTAAGATATGTAAAAGTTAAATAAAGTAAAAAGGTGTCACTGCCTCAAGGCTTTGAGAGAGAAGCTTAACATATGCATATTAAAGAAATGTTGCGTATTTTAAATATTAATTTCTGTAAAAGCTTTGAGAATTTCCAAGCCATTGTTCATGCTTTCTTTTTTTTTTAAATATCAAATATCCTACATCTTCAGTTGAAACGATTGATCGAAAGGAGACATTATAAATGTTAATCAAAACATCAACAATTTTTATTAAATCTTATCAAGATTATTCTTCTTCATATCTTTACAAAGCCATTAACGATTTTTTTGTTCATTATTTGATTCTTTATCTAAAGGTCAGTATGTGTTCAAGACGATCTGGATATGTTTCATTCGCGTTAGTTGGTTAATGCAGCGTTATGGTTTTTTTAAGTAACATTTTTTTTTTAAATTCACTTTTTGATAATTCACATTGATTCATAAGATAATTATCAATTACATATTCTAGAAAAAAAAATTCAGCGATGTTCTGATAGGTTCCAACAATAATCGTATGATTTATTGAATAACTTCCTTTTGTACCATCAAAAGAAAAATAATAAATCAATTGCTTTTGTGATGATGACTTGTTTAAGATTGAGTGAACAAGCCATATACATTTATACGTACAACGGTGACTTTTTGAAATGAGTGTTTTATTTTTACTAGTTGAATAATCAAATGAAAACAAATATTTATACCTTTTCAAAATACAGACCTTCTTTTTTTTTTTTTTTTTTTTTTTTTTTGCTTTTCCCATTGATTTTATAATCAAACTACATGTACCTGTAGTGTAACATATAAATGTTAAATGAAACAAGTTCCTGGAATGAAAATACCTTTCTCAACCTTATTAGATTTATTCAACTTTTTTTCATTAAGATTTCTCTTTGTATTCGGGATTTTAAAAAATTGATTTTATGAACAAAATAAAATAATTTATGACAACAGGATTAGATATAAGAATTTTTTTGTGTTTATGTCATATTGTTTATTCAACTTAAGCATCTAGAGTTTACGCGTACTTAATTACCGGAAACAAAAACATGACTCAATGCGAGTAAATTTTAGCTGTTAGCCGCAGTTAACTCTGCATCATTCTGCATACCTCGGAATGCGCGCTTTTAATTGTTTTTTGTTGTTGTTTTTTGTAGATGTCGCTCTGGGTTTTTCCAGGGGCCTGCATCGTACGCGGCATTCCTTGATTTGGCTGCTCGCTGCAAGGACGATTTAAAAGGTATAGGCGAACCATAATTCTTTTAGATCTCTAATCTTGATACTTATTTTGCATTCAATATGACCTGTCAGGTATTAGTTTTTGGTCATTCCTTCATTCGTCGTCTTGACGAATTTATCATCTCTCAGAGAGTGGAAAAATTTATCACTAGATGCTGGGCAATTTCATCTATGTTTTAAAGGAATTGGGGTGGATCTGTCCGAACGGGTCAAAGATGTCTGTAAAAACCTTGTTATATTAATGTCTTAGAGCTAAAAAATAAAACAAACTGACGTTTTCGTAGAAAAGATTTCTGATTTCCAGAGTGTCTTTATACTTATACTGTTTGCATCTTTAAACTTTGCTAAGATGGACTGTTTTGACTTGTAAGCTTTTTTTAAAAGAAAAGTTCACGTTATCGAGGAGAAAGATCCATAAACATCTGTTTAACTGTGTAGGCCATAGGTACTGATAAAGAGCAAGGCTCTGTGGGCGACAGTTCTTTTTATCAAAAATCACAAGATCAATGAGAGACTATTTTGTACAATTCATGTACTTGTAGGTGTAGGAATATTGATATCCTCACCTTCATCACATTGAAGTTACCCCCTTTCGGAAGATTTTTTATATAGTTGACCTTCCCCGATGGGAGATTTACTATTAAGTATTCCTTCCGCTTAGTAAACCTTCCAACCAGATTGTAAACTATTCTGACCTTATGTATAATATGGAGAATATAACTAGAATATTTAGGTTCATCGATGTGTTGAATAAGTATTGTGAGTTTAATTTCTGTGAAACTTATTGATTATCAGAAGATACTGTATTGAAATCCTATTATAAAAAGATCTTTAGTCATATTTCAGGAACATGCCAATTTAACACAAGACTAAAGATCTCAGTACTTTTTTTTAAATAAAGATCACAACTATTGATATCATATCTTGGCACATTGTGGTGAAAGATTGCAGATTCGAAAACTTCTGATGACATTGGCTTCATCAAATTTTAAAATTTTGCAAAGATCGACGGTCCATCCATATAGCCATTTGAACAAAAAAACATATTTAAAGTATACTAAGTAGTTGTATTTCAAAATTTGTTGATTCGTAATCTTGTGTATTCATCGGCTTCATTTTGATTGATATCGGCAATGAAAATTACAAGAAACATTATGAATCTTCCCTCTTCAAACTATATATAATTATTCGTATTAAGGGAAGAAAACATTTACAATATATCAAAATATATCAAAATATCATGTGAAGTTTTTACTTGTACTCAGAAAAAAAGGGGTCGCGTTCTACGGGCCTGTAGGTACTAATACATAGGGAAATATTTGCTAAACTTTCCCCGTGGAAATATGTTGTGCTCTAAAATAAGCAGGAGGAAAGGTTGCTATATAACACTTTTTTCAGTTACTGAATTCTGAGGTGTAAGCTTAACTTTAGAGTAAATATTCCGAAACGGACTGTTTAATATATGACATCTGCTTATCAATTGAATTGTTAACTTTTTCTGAAATGCTTAAACAATCTTTCAGTGCTTCTCACATTAAAATAATTGTAAACGAAATAGTGAAAATTCACTACAATACATTTTTTTGTAGTTTTTGTTGATGTTTTTGTTTTGTTTTTTGTTTGTTTTTGTTTGATTTTTGTATGATACTGTCATTCAACACTTGTTTGGGTTTTTATTTTTAAATCTACATAATTTATTTATATTTGTGTAGAAAATATTCCCTTACGTTCGTAGTTCCTTGATGAGTAGAAACTATGTTCGTTTAAATCAAAAAGAAAACAAGTTGGGAATATTGAGCTCAAATAATTAAGCACATTTTTGCGCAGAATCAAACCATTTATTTCAACACATACTGTGATGAATTTTTCAAAAAAAAAAAAAAAAAAAAAAAAAAAAAAAATAGTAAACACATAGGATAATTTTTTAATATTTAATGATTGAATTTTATACAATGTTGAATATTTTTTTTGCAAAGTATAAAAATACGATTTTAGATAGTTGTCAATCAGGAAAATATCATACCTCCCTTATATCTATTAGGTATAAAAGATACTAAAATCCATTTCTAAATTACCTGTGAGCAGACAACATGTTGGCTACATTAGGATTATTGGTGTTTTGTGTCGTAGCATTGTGTCCATTGGTAAGTAAGTTTTTTATTTCTATCAGATAAGAATTGACTACATGTACGTATCGTAGTTGAAAATAATCCCTGACCTCTGACTTTACTAACTTTAATTCTCAAAATGTATCAAACCTACAAAGTGTTTTTAATCTGTGTATACCTATATGTAATAAAACTATTTTGTAAACATGGGAGATTTTTTTTCTTTATGAATGTTACCGTAACTTCGAAAATTTAAAATTGTATCTGAAAAAAAAAATACGAGCACAGTTGGGATGATTTTCATTTTTATTAACAATTATATAAATTTGTAATGATTCCAAAGGTGCAAAATTCTTTTGGATTTGAAACCGATATCGGTTGATCATAAAACTTGAAAAATCTAAAAAAAAAAATTCATGTGCCACCCAATGTTTAAATCTTACATGGAATAGTACTATTTCTTAAGAAGTTAATGTTGTTTTACACTGGTTCTTATGACATATGTTAATGTGTTACCTTGGGCATTTTGAACAGGAAGCATTGGAAACGAATGACGATATTACCGCTCTGGACCAAACGGCACAGGGTTCACCTTCTTTAAACGCTAAGATTAGAATTGCCAGATTTTCTTTTAGGAAACCAAGGGTATATATTTTATGTCTATAGCTTTTAATCTGTGTTTTTAAATGCTGACAAAAAATTATCGTATTTATCGTTACTATTACCACAGTAGATAAGTGATATATACAAAATGATTGTTCGTGTAAATTACCAAAATCTTAAGGTTAAATATGTTTTTGAGAGTTAGGATTTTGCCAATAATCATTGATATTGGCCACACTGGTTGACTTTCCAGCCAACAGTAACTTCGATGACGTGTGAACCTTCTCGGTGCCAGAATGGCGGAACATGCATATATGGAGCGTCATCCTGTAGATGTCCAGAAGGATACACCGGTGTGTTATGTGAGACAGGGTAAGTAACTTATTTACTGACATTGATGAAGTTCTCTATTCTGTTAACGTCAATGTTAATTTCAATGTCGTTGAATTTCTGTCGACCATTTAGGATCATGTGAATATAATAGTATCCTAAATTGTATTTCTCAGCAGCCACTAGGTTAGTTTAAAGAAAGAATAGCAACTTATTTAACATATTTGAGGGGAGGGGGGGGCGTCTGGAGAGAAAAATAAGAAACAATTTCCGCAAAATGTCACTGTTAAGATGCCTTATCTCAATGAATAAAAAAAAAGAAATTTCTTTAACAAAAAGCAACAAAATTAATCAAACATATTTTTATTTACAACATTTCTGTATATTTGTTTCTAAGAAAAATAAATCGTACAGCACATTACAGCGTGCTCTCATTTTCGAAGAGAAAATGCTTTGAAAGTATTAATTTTCATATCTGGAGAGCAAAGCATAAAAAATTGTGAATGGAAAGTGTGTACATTTATAAAGAAAATGCAAATATGACCCTCTATTTCTTTTTATTAGGAAATTGTTCTTCGAAATTAATATTTATGCTTGCTGAATTGCTCAAAGTCCATACAGTAAAATCATACAAATCAATTTTCTTATATGACCTCCCAATAGCCAACTCTGACGTTATGAACTTGTGCATTTTCCAGTATTTTCTTAAAAAGTTGCAGAAGACATCATTTTTCAGTGTAATTTTCTTTCGACATAGAGGTCATATTTCCAGAACAGTCCTTCCTTGTGTCATATTCTTTCTTGATTTATCTCATTCATATATTCAGCTCACATGTAAGCAATATCAAAACTTTTAACATTGTTTAAAAACATCAATTTTTAGGGCATAATAAAGCCAAAACAATATCTACTTCTTTGCATTTTGACCATAGAACGTCTATTTAAAATGAAACAAAAGTTTAGTAATGTTTTCTCTTCTTTTCCAGAATGAGCTGAAAAGTACTTTATCCAACCAGAAAAAAATATTGTGTAATAATTCAAGACCAGCAACAATATAATTGAAATAAAATAAGATATGTAAACAATATAATTGTCTTAAAATGAAAGATACATTATGGTATAGAAATTCAGCAATTGAAATCATAAAGAAAACATTGTGCAAGAATTATATTTCTTTAAAAAAAAATTTGGCAAAAGTTTATTGGTTTGCTATTTTTATACTAGTATACTGTAAGTCATACCGGTAAACACAGGGTGTAAAAAAGCTTCCCATCCTATTCAGTGTCGGATTGTTTGTCAAATCTTATTTTTAACAATTTGGCTCCAACGTAAGACATGAAGGTCTTAAATGTATAACATTAATAAAAACAAGCATTCTGAGAGTATTGCATAAGCAATACTTGTCTCCTACCGGCACGTGCAATGTGTTCCCTAAAAATTAAGAAGCCCGTAAATTTCTCAAAGATATGCAAACTTGATCTGTAACTCATTTAGGTAGACTCACATGTATACCAAAAATTATCTCAATATCTGCAAGTGCTTGGGAAAACCAAGCTGACCAGACTAAAAAAAAGACAGACGAGGAGGAAACCTTTAGTCCCCTCCTGCTTTACCGGAATCTGTACTCTGGATTAGGACTTCCTCCCGAGGGGAAATCTCAGACTAGAACCAAACATTTCTATGAGTCAACTGGTTTTTTAATGGAATTATTAGTGTTTTTGACTCAAGGATTGTTAAAATTTAGGATGAAATCTTAAAATATATATGCTACCGGCCCAGTATGTTTGTCTAAGGATTGATTCTTTTTACAAACAGTGTGTGAGAAAATTCCAAATTTATATTATGGATATGTAGGTTCCACATACAATTTTGTGAGTATTTGCCAAAACCAAAAACAATACAATACTGCTCTCGAAAGGCGAAGCATAAGTATACCCTCTCCACCCCTGCGGTGTAATATTGGATTTGAAAGCAGAGAGCAAATACTCCCTAGATCTGAAAGTTTTATAAATTTCTGCATAAATTTTAGCAATTTTTTAAAAAAAATTAATGGAATTCAAATAAATTTTGAAGAATAAGTACTGAGAAAACGATGTAGTGTTCACGTCAAATCACTTACTGTGATGTCAAACATTAAGTCAATTAAACATACCTTCGTGAAGAGTTATCTTTCCTTTAATGCGTTTATTTAAGCAATAAAATACTTTCTTTGCTTGTTAAAAAACTTCAATGACGTCACCCATTGTTATTAGTCTACGTATATTTTACCGATTCAACCATCGCTAGTTGGATATTTAAAGATCCATCTGGCCATCAGTTGGATATTCAAATATCCAGCTGCCTGTCGGTTGGATATTTAAATATCCAACTGTGCATAAAACATAATTAAGCAATGAACAAAAGAGATAAAAAAGTTTAAAATGCATTTCCAATGCACATAAAAAATAATTACTCCGACTTTGTCACACTATTAGAATTTAGGTCCAATGCACACGGAATTTTAATCCCTTCGCATTTTTCACACTATTAGAATCGTGTTAAAAACGTACTTTCAATGCGCACAAAAATTACAATTCCTCCGAATTTTGCACACTTTTAGACTCTTGTCGTCAATAAAATATCCAATACTTATCCGATGATATTTTAAAACAATATTTTGAAAGCATCACATTTTGACACGGTTATAAATACATTTTCACCATGAACCTCAAACCACATCACTTCCTGTTGCTGAATATTATTTCAGAGGTCCGTTATCAGCAAATCCTCTCAAATTTTTCGAGGTTCATCTCTGTTCTCATACTTTTCCAGCGTACTTCCCAAAACAATTTAATTAGCTGACAGACTATCTATTTTTTGTCACCTTTTTTATTGCAGATCTTGATACGGAATATTTTTAAAGCAGGTTCCGCATAACACCGACAATCTTTTCATCTGTTTTAGCACTACTAGAAGTATTGTCCAAATGAAACTCCGTAAGATTCCCACACTTTTCCTCAACAAATCATCATCTTATATGTTATGATAGATTTCCAACCTTTTATCAAAATTCTGTAATTTTCTTCTACTTTAACGTCAAAAGTATTCATAACGCTATCTGAACCTCTCTAAATTTACTTTGGATTTAAAACTATTCTTCATCTTATTTCATGACTGTTCAGGACAATGGAAAGGTTTGATATGACATTAGCACCATGCAGTTTCATGCTCACTAGTCCATGAATAAAAGGGGTATTCGATAAGGCTATTGTATTGTGTCACTGTTGGATATCTAAATGGGATAGATCCCATTGTATTACAGCAAAGTTGGATATATGAATGGGTAAAATGTTTCTTTGGGGTCCAAAGTTGGGAAGTTTTTAAGTAAGATAAATAACTCGATAGTGTTGAACAGTTTAGAGAAAACATCCCCTCCTCGGGCCTTCGGCCCTCGGAGGGAATGTTTCCTCTAAACTATTCAACACCATCTCGTTATTTATCCATTACTAAGTACGGGAATTAATGTCGCAGCTGTTGCAGAAAAAATACATAACCCGCGTAAGCGAGTTGTGTGAATTTTTTTCTGCAGTAGTTGCGACGTTAATTCCCCTACTAACAAAGAAAGAATGACATTTTATTGTTTATATTTATATCTTTATAAAAAAAAACTTTCAAAGTTAATTAAATATGTTAAATATTATATTATAGATGTGTATGTCACTGTATGCATAATTGATGGAACAGCCGTTGCTTAAGAAATCTATACAGTTGGCTTGCTTTGAGTTGTTTACTGACTGATTAATGGCAATGACTTTTATAGAAATAAAGGAAAAATATTCCGTGGATGTAAATATATATGCATGATTACATAAACATGTATATCAATATGCATTTTTAAAAATTGTAAAAATCGTGACGTGGCCTTAAACCATTCATGCAAATACACACCCAGGTCATCTTCCGAACTGAGTTTCAATTTCAGATAAAAAAAAATCAGATAATGAACAAAAATATAGTTAATGATTTTTGAGGTTATGACGAATTGAATGATCTTGGTAAAGTTCGGTAACACTGTTGATGTACTTGATTCACTTTCGTATTTTTTTCCTTTCGATTAATCGTATAAACTGTAGATTTTGTCAATAGTATATGTACTTGCTTACTGCTTTCAATAGATTATTGTACATGCCTATACAAATATCAACGTTCTGATAGAAATTAGTCCTCTTTACAAATTATAATCAATGTAAAAATAAAACACTATATCGTAGATATGAATTCTCATCAGTTTGTATTTCTTTTCAATTACTTTCTAAATTAAAGATTAAACTTTAAGTAATCATTCGACTTTAATCTTTAAAAAATTCTGTTTATAAAATGTTTATGTACCGGAGGAGTTAAGCTCTTGCTTAATCTGTAAAGTAAAAAGAATAACATTTTGTTAAAAAAGAATTCAAAACATCCAAACTGAACTGTTAAATTGTATAGTTGATGTGCCAAATTAACACAGGTTCCATGGTTGATAATACACCCTTCGATTTCATACTCTTCTAGTGCCAAGCACTTTATAATTGGAACACTCCCCCATATTAAGGGACCAGGCACTATTTATCATCAGGATGGGAACGGTGCAAAATAATAATAAGAAGAAGAAGAATAAATTTTGGTGCCATACCTTTCAAGATAAAAAAATATAAGCCCCATCCTCGATTTGTCTGGGTGAAAAATTGTATATACATGTATTATATATATTTGTAAATCTGTAATCGTATCAATTGAATACACATTTTCTTGACTTTTATTCCAAGTAGCTCAAAAGGACGTTGGAAGTTAAAAAAACGTTCTATTTGTCTTGATTCTTGAGCAGAAAACTAAATGTATATATATTTTGTTTTATATTCAGAAGACAATAAAAAAAATTAATAAACCATGAAACATGTATCACCGTGTGAAATTGACTGTATTATTCATAATTCATTTTGGACTCTAAATGTTATATTTAATTTTTGTTTTAATGTGATATTTAATATTTTGAAATTATTTGGTTTAAAAATTTGCATTTTACAAATCTTTCTCATGTTAAGTTATTAAGTGTTCATATAATTACTGAGTGACACTTGTCGGCTGACAAAGGGGCAGAGTGTTAATGTCCAAGGACCTTTTAATCCCTTATACAAACATAATGTAATTATTTAATTATCGGTGTTCTTTATGTCCATGCCATCAAAGCATTTCATTTATCGTTATCTGTATCACTTTTACTCATTGTCTACGGCTTAACTACTTCCGGCCCATAGCGCCACTCATTTTCCTGCCAACATTGCCTCTTGCCCGATCAACAACACATCTTTTTAGACCCAAACTACGCGGTCATACTTGCCAGAGAAATCGATGATAATTTTCCGGAGCAGATGTCACTGCATTGTCATCATAATGGCAAGTCTGAACTATCTCACTGTATATTTACAATGTTTGTTTAATAATTTAATTTGATACATGTAGATAACTGTAAACGATAAATATACCAATCCAAAGAGCTCACCTGTGATTTAATCATTATCATTAAAGAATTACAGGACAGTCGGTGTAACGACATGATGTTTTAACAGTAATCAACACTGACCTAAGTCGATAAAAATAGGTAGCAACTGTTCCCGGCACCTTGAAGTGAAAGTTGCGGGTCATTCGGATGATACCTTAAAAACCCTCACTACTCAATGGCCCTGAGTGCCGAGTAAAGGTCTAGATTTGAGGCCCTTCACCGGTATATGATGACGTTTTTATATGAGTGAAAAATTCTCGAACGGGACGTAAAACACAATACAATCAATCAATAAATCATATACTTCGGCCTAGTAAATTCAGAACTTACAACATGATATTTAAACAATAAAATGCTTTCTTTGGTTGTTGGTACGGGAATTATTGTCGCAGCTGTTGCAGAAAAAACACATAACCCGCGTAAGCTGGTTATGTAATTTTTTTCTGCAATAGCTGCGACGTTAATTCCCGTACTAACAAAGAAAGAAAGACATTTTATTGTTTATATTTATATCTTTATTTAGAAAAACCATTCAAAGTAAATTAATAATATTAAATATTGTATTTTAGATGTGAATGTCATTGTATGCATAATAGATGGAAGAGCCGTTGCTTAAGAATTCTATGCAGGTGGCTTGCTTAGTGTTGC